TCACGAGGCTCTGGGGAGTCACATCTCACATTTTTTTCCCTCGTGTCTCCTGCAGGTACCCATGCAGCTCATGAAGGATGCAAGAGCATCCGCCGTCGATGGTGAAGTTGGCTTCGCTGGAGAGGCAGATCTTTGACACATAGCCTGCTACCCTATAAGTCTGGAACCTTCAACTTAGGGGCCCCTGTGTCACCGGGCTAATGAGCCGGTGACACAGGACGAGGCCGAGACGGAACGTGGTCGTTGAGATTTCGGGGCTTGCGGGGTTTGTGGCTTTGGGGTTCGACTGTGCTGTTGATGCAGGAGCCCTCGCAAGCCTTGGTACCGGGGGTGGCCGACGGGCAATGCCTTGCATGGGCCTTTAGCTTGTCCGTTCGGGTCCCTGTAGGGATCTCGTGAATCCTTGCCCATGAGCAGGTTTCGAGTGACCGTCCTGATCATCAGCCTGAAGTGTCCTTGGAGCAGGCATCGGACGGGTTTTGCACGTGGTTATTGATGGTTGCTCGGGCTGCTGACACGGGTTGAGGGTCCAGGGGCATGGCTTGGGTTCGGCTTTGCATCCTGTCTTTTGGCAGGCTGTGTGTCTATGTGTGTCGGCTGCACCATGGAACCTATAGTTACGCGACATCGACAGCAGAAGCAGCCGAAAGAAGGTGATGGAAGTGAATCGTTGCCAGTTGAATTGTGGCTGCGAGACACGGCATGGTAACTCATTCGCGGCATGTGTAAACGTGCAACCGACATGATCTCAAGTTGGGAGGCGCCCGAGTGCGAGGCAAAGCCGCGTCTTGTGCAGGTGCTGATGTGACGTGTATGAATCACATGATTCGGGCTGAGATCCCGTGCCAGGTGCAGCAAAAGCGAAAATGGAAGTCAACTGCCCAGCGCAGAGAAGAGCGGAACGCGAAGGTCGAGAATATGTTGACAGGAAGGCGAATGCAAGGAGCATAGTTACTGCGGTCTGACTGAGAGCTATCTGATCTCCCCCCGAAACACTAATGCAACAGGACGAAGAAAGAAGGCCGCTGTCCTGACACAGAAGGAGACCCGTGCTGCGTGTTGAGTCCCGCCTGAAAAAAAACACACGCAAACATAAAGTGCATAAATATTTGACCCGTGGATGCAGGAACTGGCTGAGCTCCTGATGGCATTGTTTAGGGCAGACCAGCAAGTGGCACAGGTGTGTATCTGGGCGTACGTGGGTTGTGCCAGGACGGAGTTTTACGAGTGGTGACCTGTTGTGACTGCGCTCGCAGAATGTGAAGTTGCGAGGATCGCAGAGATCCTTACGGCCATCGCGGATGCGAAGAAAGATCGCTTCGCCTGCAGTATGGCTCGGCACTTACACCTGATCCTCAGACACAGTCAGTTCAGCTATCGTCGTTACATTGCCTCTGGGCGCCTTGGTCTGGGCAGGAGGAGGGCATCATGCGCATGTGGAAAGTCCAGCTCCATGGCTGAATACCCACAATCTGACCAGGCTAGTGCACGCTGGATGATGGTGCTGTCGTGTCGCGACACCCGAGGACCAAGGCTGGTAAGGTCAAGGACTCCAAATCTTCGATGTGGCTGAAGGCGAAGATGGCCGTGATGGTGAGCCTGTCCATTGATTGATCGTCAGACTTCCCATGTGTTTCCCCCTTGGCAGACTGAAGATGAAGAGAATAAGTACGTGAAGCAGTGCCCCTGGTTCGTGTACATGTGCATCGCGTGGTTGTGCGGTCGCATGTCGTGTGTGTGTGTGTCATGTGTAGCTTATGCATTGGCGAGGAAGATCGCAGAAAGCCATGTGTGTGACTTGCTGGCACCACCAACCTCCCGATGGAAGTATGCCGATTTGTTCGTCAGGCAGATTTCCTCAATGCATGCCAAGGGCAGTAAAACACCTTGAAGATCCAAAATATTTTGAAAACGACAAAATGGAGACATAGGGCAATAACAGGCCGGCTCCGCGTTGGAGCTTTGCAATCGCCTGCCATCTCCACCTCCCCCGCTGTACAGGGCACACCTTCCGACGATGCCGGGTGACCCACTTGGCAAACCAGGTCCCGCTCGCAACCCGGATGGCGCGAGAAGCAGCTCGTCAGCGTGTTGCTGCCAGCACTGCGATATGGCTGAGGCCAGTGGCAGAAGATGGGGTCTGCAGAGACGATTGGATCTGCCGTCGCTCTGGCAAGCACCTCGGGGAGAGAGGTTGAAACGCTGACGTGCATCTGTCGTTAGTTGAGGTCATCGCGAAGCCAAAGTCATGTGGGGCTACATTGAGCAGATGGCCACTCTGACGGACGCCAAGTTAGCCCAATGGCACGAGTCGACCTTGGCAGCTTTGGCAAATCATCTGCACGTCCCGACCAAGCGATTACGATGCAAGCAACCGGCACAGAAGATGGCAGCCTTGGCAAATCACCAGACGTCCCGACAAAACGATTGCGATGCGAGCAACGGGCACCGTTACCGTTGGCTTGGTGAGGCGGATGTGCTGCTCGTGTCCTTCGGTGCTGGGTTCTGTGTTCCGATACGCAGCACATTTTGCGAACCCTACACGTCACGATGAATGTTCAATGTTGACACGTTCGTCGTCGAAACCAAGCGTGACGCTCTTGGCAACACACTGTAGTTGTGAGCTTGAGATTGAATCTCCCTTTTGTACACTGACGCGCATGCCAAAGGTCGTGCTTGTGTCTGTTGCATCTAACCAGGCAGAGACAGAACAGCATCGATGATTGTGGAATGCAGACGACTGCCTATCATACATCGGTTTTTGTAGTAGAGCTTCATTCATCTTAAACGACATAGCTGGACCTGGACTTTAAAGAGTTTACCATCCGAAGCCCTAAATTAAATCCTTGAAGGCGTTGTTTTAAGCGACGGCTCGGGGTATTGAGGTGTAGGATTTCGGACCGAGTCTAGGGGTTTAAAATGCCTTAGGTTTTAGAGTCCATTTCCGACTAGCAGGCATTTAGAACTCAGGGTGTCGTGCTTTCGGCGTTAAACTGGGCCATAGGGTTTTAAAGTTTTGGGCCGAGGCTTCGGGGTATGTTTGCAGTTACAGGCAGGTAGAATTAATAACGTATGTAGGTACATATGTCTGAGGTATGTAGGTAGGTAGGTAGGTAGGTATGTGTCTCGCTTTGTTTCCCATCTGTGGCGCCAGATGCCCATGACACGGGACACCGATTCTCAACTGTACAGTTGACTCAGAACTATGCGGCAGTCCTGCACGTGGACAACAACAACGCGGGTTGTCCTGCATTACCGTTCTGGGCTCTTGGAAGACGAGCAGGAGTGGTCACTAGGTTTGTTTCGCTGGCTAGTGCTTGTTTGCCTGATAGTGTTGTGTCTTCTAGGTTGGTTTGTAATCATTAGGCTGAGACGGGCTTTCAGGCTTAGGAGGCTTCGGGAGCTGGTAGACGAAGTTGTGCGCGAACAGGCCCGTCGTGTGCCTAACCCGCCGCTCAACACTGATAGCTCCGAACAGGCAAGCGGGGGAGTAAATACACTCATGCAGCCTGAGCGTACCGCCGGGGGAGCATTCTCGCGCATCGATTGGAGGCAGAGGTTTCCTCCTAAGCGGCCGTCTGTCAAGAGTCCACCTAGTCTTGGAAGCACTGCTACTCCACCGAAGTTTTCCGTGCTGGATCGTCCTTTCGGCCTCGGACCTATTCCATCAAGTGGTCGACATTCGGGTTTAGGCCCCAGTTCGGTTTCCCCTAAGCAGGTCCAACCGGATCACCCGAACCCTAAGTCTTCAGGTTTAGGTGTTACCCCTAAGCAGGTCCAGCCGGATCACCCGAACCCTTCAGGTTTAGGTGCCATCCCTAAGCAGGTCCAGCCGGATCACCCTAACCCTAAGTCTTCAGGTTTAGTCCCGATCCCTACGCCTGGCATCTTTTTGGGTTACCCTAGGACTGCCTACCCGAACCCAAGCCTTAGTTTCGGTTTAGGTCCCGAACCCAGCAGCAGCGGCAGCAGCGGCAGAGATGATGCTGTGCAAGGTGGTGAGGCTGAAACTGTGATCAGCTGGTATGCAGATGATGTTGCTATATCTGCTCCCCCTGAGCAGCTGCACCTTGCTATTGCGCACGTCACTGGTGATGATCCTCCCCAACAGGTAGCCACCCCACCTCTTGAGAACGCGAGCATAGCCGATGATACCACTTCTTCGGACTCTGACTCAGAGGAATACTTCAATAGGTGGTATGATGGGTATCAACCGGGAGATCCTTATGACCCTTATGCAGATCTCACACCCAGTGAACGTGCTGCGGTCGACCCCGATCGGTATGAAACGTTCTCACATGTTGAAGATGATGGGCCAATAAGCCTGCGCAATCTTCTGTCCCTACACGGCATTACCCTGATAGCTTTTCTTGGACCACACACTGACGAGCTGTGGGCTTGGCATGCAGTTTCCACCGAGTTTGAGGAAGCTGTGTGGGATGCACAGGATTTTTATTTTGAGAAGCGTCGTTTGCAACCCCTTGGAGCCCGGGCATCGGCGTCAACAGATGCTGCAGGGTTTCATCGTGAGCAGGTGTCTGGGGATGCTACCATGCTTGCTGAGGTGGCGGTTACCTTAGGAGACATCATTAGGACAGTTGGTGGCTTAGTCTTTAGGCTTTTAGATCCGCAGAGTCTTGATGCTGTTCTGTGTCGTGAAGCGTCCAGAGGTTTGCACCTTACCACCTTCGTAGCATGGGCACACCTCGTGCCCCGATATCCTCGATCAGATGCTTCTGAAAGCGCCGAGGAAGCAACAAGTGCAGCTTCTAGCTCCGAGCAGCTTGCAGAGCTGCTGGCTACCGAATGGCAGCGTGTGCATGAGGTCTTTGGTTGGCAAGATGGGTATAGTAGAGAGCTTGTTGAGGATGCAGTAAATCAGTGGATCCGAGCAGGTATGCCAGTTGAAGCCTTGTTTGACTTGAGTTTTCGACAGTCTAGAGGTATTACTGGGACTATGAGTCAGGCTTTTGGGATGATGTTGGGTTACCACTTAGAGCATGGACCTGGACTCAATCACTTCCAGGAGTCTATCGAGTCTTCATCCGAGCTTAGTGCTGAGGAGCAGCGATTCATCGAGTCATGGTGGTCAGATACGGGGGAGCAGCGAAGAACCTCATGGTCATCTTGAACTAGGTGATGTTTCCGGTTACGTGTTACGGGTGATTGATCGGAGTAGTGACTTGTTGTTCCTGTACCTTGGATGTCACGCCGCTGAGTGGTCACGCTTGAGAACCACTGCTAGGGCCTTTCGAGCTCACACGGCACTGATGTTGATCGGAAGCCTGAGAGACACTGGTGCTGCGCAAGTCCCAGAAGTCCCAGCGGGCTTTACATTTCAGGCTGCCTTCACGTTTGTGCAAGTTGGGAATCAATATCAGTGGATGCCTGCATCGCTGGTATATAATGAAGGGGGAAGTAGCAGTAGTCTTGGTCCTGTTCCTGAGGGTGTTGGTAGCTCTCCTGTAGTTTCGGGTTTGGATGGTCAGGAACCTGGTGCTATCGCAGGAACCGGAGAAGCGCCCTTTGATGCCGCTGAGTGTGAGGATCCGCCTATTCCTCCAGATCTGATTTATGATGAAGAAGCAGGAGTGTTGAGAGTCATACCTGATGGAGATGATGATGAAACAGATGAGCTGGATTTTCAGATCGCTCAGGCTGCTTTCTTTCTGTGGCAGAATCAGTTCTACTTTGAGTGGGAACAGCTGACGGAAGCTAAGCAAGATATCTACCATGGACTTGTTGGTGAGTGGTTAACGCGGGTTCATGAAGTGGATTAGAACAGTTGTGTTTCTCTGAGCTGCCCGATTCTATGTGCTTGAGTTCAGACCGTCGGGATAAACGTGGGTCTTGGATTTCTGTCCTGGGTCTGGTCAGTTGAGGGAGGTTGTGAGACCGCTCTTTGCATGTGCTTAGGTTTTGGGTACGCTTTCCAGGTTTTCCAGCTGCGGTGCCCAAAGTTGTTGCGAAGCCAGCAACCTAATCCTCTCTGAAGCTTCATGTGGTGCTTCAGCTGCTGCATGTCGCAGCGCGCGTGGTCTGTACCTGGGTCGCTCCTGGGCTCGCTAGTGCGGCAGGCTACGTCCTTTTCCTCTCTTCCTGGGTCGCCCCTGGGGAACAAAATGACCTGAAGTTGGATTTTTGTGGCTGTCTGGGTGTTGGCCTGGATTTTTGGCCTCTTATATCCCATGCACGGATGAACTTCCCTGTCTTTGATCGGTTCCTACCGAGGGGGAGTGTGCATCTGCTCAGGCGTCCATCCTCTGACTTGCATCTACCTGCGAGCCTTTCTAGGCTCAGAGAGGCATCTCATAAGGCGCCTGGGGTCCCAACTTTAAATTTCTTCTCATTCTTAGAGGTCATCTCAGCCTTATGGCTATGATCAAGAAGTATGTTTACAAAGACTGGAGCTTCGTTTCTTTCGTGTTGTGGTGCTTGTGGCGCTAAAAAAGTGTGGGCCTCAGATCAGGTTTCTCTGCTTTTAACCAAGGGCAGTGATTGAACCTTGCAAGTACCGTATATAGTATGTAGTATATAACTAGTATATAGTGTATAATAGTATAAGGGGGCTCAATAATGAGAAGGGAGTTCTTTAAGGAGTGCTTGGAAAGGGGATGGGCCACTAGAAGGGCTCTTTGTTTTAGAAAGGCGGGCTTAATGATTGGATCACTCTAAGGACCACCATCGTAGATATTAATGCCCCTGTGTTACACGCTAAGCCCAGGAACTTAAATCCATAGCAAGCAACCCTCAAACCTGGCTGAGCGTTGTTTCTAAATTTGTCTTGGTCTTGGGGTGGGGTGGCTGGCAAGGACATCATTCTAGGGTCTTGGCGGGTCTTCAACACAAAATATCAGATTACAAAAGAACCTTTGTGGAATGACGCCGCTTTTGAAGCCCTACACACCTGAACCCTACACCCTCAAACCCCATATTGCCATAAACCTAAAACCCCATAATCCCTGAACCCTACACCCTGAAACCACATAATTAATCCCTAAACCCCAAACCCCAAAATCCCTAAACCCCAAGCCTAAAACCCCATAATCCCCTCAGTGTAACAATATTAGTAGCAGTAACAGTAGTAAGAGAAAGAGTAACAATAGCAGCAATAGTAAGAAACGTGATGATCATAGATTTAAACAACACAAAAACCCTAGACCCTAAAATTCATAAATAATCCAGGCCCTCATTTTCAGGAACTATATATAGAATTCATGTAAGGCACCGTAAAAAGGTGGGTCTTTTTCGGCTACAGGCAGAGCCTAAATCCCTAAACCCTTAAACCCCTAAACCCTAAACCCCTAAGCCCATATATAAACCTCTAAACACTAAAAATCATAAGAATATATAAACCTCTAAACACTAAAAAATCATAAGAATATATAAACCTCTAAACACTAAAAATCATAAGAATATATAAACCTCTAAACACTAAAAATCATAAGAATATATAAACCTCTAAACACTAAAAGTCATAAGAATATATAAACCTCTAAACACTAAAAATCATGAGAATATATAAACCTCTAAATCATAAGAATATATAAACCTCTAAACACTAAAAATCATAAGAATATATAAACCTCTAAACACTAAAAATCATAAGAATATATAAACCTCTAAACACTAAAAATCATAAGAATATATAAACCTCTAAACACTAAAAATCATAAGAATACATCAACCTCTAAACACTAAAAATCATAAGAATATATAAACCTCTAAACACTAAAAATCATAAGAATATATAAACCTCTAAACACTAAAAATCATAAGAATATATAAACCTCTAACACTAAAAATCATAAGAATATATAAACCTCTAAACACTAAAAATCATAAGAATATATAAACCTCTAAACACTAAAAATCATAAGAATATATAAACCTCTAAACACTAAAAATCATAAGAATATATAAACCTCTAAACACTAAAAATCATAAGAATACATCAACCTCTAAACACTAAAAATCATAAGAATATATAAACCTCTAAACACTAAAAATCATAAGAATATATAAACCTCTAAACACTAAAAATCATAAGAATATATAAACCTCTAAGCACTAAAAATCATAAGAATATATAAACCTCTAAACACTAAAAATCATAAGAATATATAAACCTCTAAACACTAAAAATCATAAGAATATATAAACCTCTAAACACGAATAATCATAAGAATCCGGGGCAAAGGAGCCAGTTTCGGAAGCGCCGCAGGACATCCTCGGGGCCGACACCGAGGCGAAGCGCGCGGCGGCGTCGCCGGCAGCCGTGGCCTAAGCTTGGATTTGTTTTCAAAAAGGGTTAAGCCTCTAAAGGGTTCAGGGTTGATGGTCAAGCCTTTGAAGGGTTTGGGTTTAGGGTTTATCGTTCAGGGCTTAGGGTTAAGCTTTGGAAGGGTTTGGGTTTAGGGTTCAGGGTTTAGGATTAAGCCTTCGTTGGGTTTGGGTTTAGGGTTTAGCGTTTAGGGTTTAGGGTTTAGGGTGTAGCGTTTAGGGTTTAGGTACGGACAGTCTCTTCCCACACCGGTGTTTGGCCTGGAGCGGTTATCTGCACCCAGGCCGTGGTGCAGTCCTCGCAGCAGAAGGCCTTGGACGGCGATTGCACCTGGTGGATTCTCAACGCTCGGAAGGCCTGGTTGAGTATTACAGGGTGCAGGGCTTTTTGGAAGTTCCGGTTTAGGCTTTACTTAGAGGTTCATGGGTAGTTATAAGTGGGGTTATAATTAGGGCAACTATGGTTATGACCCTTAGGGGACTTATAACACCACTTATAACTACCCAGGAACCTCCAAGTAGTGCTATTATGATTATGTTATGTGGGGGTCAGGGGAGCGCCGGAGCGGGAATGATGAGGGCCCTATACTAAATCCTCATAGTAGCCCGTATAGTAGCCGTTGTAGATTTCTTCCTGGGTCAAAGAAGCCACCGCAAGGGTACGAACCTCGAGAAAACATAGCAACAATAGTAACAGTAGCAATCATAGTCATAGTAATACTACTAACTAGTAGTAGAAGTAACAGCAGCTAATAACAACCGCCATACAAAGCAAATGAGCAAAATTAAGTTAAAAAGAATCCAGAGCACGCACGCCCTTCAAACCAGCTCAAACTGGCAAATCGCAGGGTAGGAACAGCGGCTTTCGGCATCTTCTCTACCCTTGAAAGCATGGCATTTAGTGAGTCTGAAGCCCTAAACCCCAGAACCCTAAAACCCTACACGCCTATCCCCAAGAACCCCCAACCCCCAAACCTTAAACCCTAAAGCCCCATTCCCTACGCCCAAATCCCCAAGGGCTAAGTTGCAAAGCTCCACAAGCCGGAGCGGAACGGTCGATGATATAAATCCTGCATTACCCATAATAAGGAATAGACCATAATTCCCATAGTTTATGGTCCTTAGGGTACTGTACCTTAAGGACCCTAAACTATGGGAATTATGGTATATTCCTATCATCAACCGAAGGAGCTCTTGGGGCTTCCCCTCTTGGAGGACATCCTCTTTGCAAGCCTGAGGCTCAGAGCGAATCACCAGATAGCACCCTGGTTTGGGGTTTAAGGTTTAGGAGGTTTAGGGTTTAGGGTTTAGGAGTTTGGGGTTTAAGGTCTAGGAGTTTAGGCTTTAGGGTTTAGGAGTTTGGGGTGTTGGGTCTACCTTAACCCAGAATAACCTACCTTTTTAAGGACGTATAAAAGGAAATAGTAATAAGGAACCCTAAAAAGGTAGGTTCTTCAGGGTTTGAGGTAGGGTTTAGGGATGTCTGGGGTTCAGGGGTTTGGTGTTTAGGGTTTGGGGTTTAGGGTTTCGCTGTAGGTTTCAACCCAGAGTTCGGGCTGAGTGAGTTGTATTCAGAAGAGGATAATTGACGGCAGGCTGCGTTTATGTATATGTCTGATATGCATATAACCTAACCGCCTATCTATCTACCTATCTATATCGATCTCTCTATCTTGTTTCTTTCTTGCCTCCCATGTATTTATCTTTCTATCCGCTCTCAATCTCTGTCTCGCTCTCTCGCTCTCTTTGCATTTCTATCTACCTGTCCATCACTCTCCCCCTCTCCTCTCTGCATCTGCTGCCTATCTATCTGCCTGTGTATCTGCCGGCATAACTGCCTGTCCATCTACCTGGCTATCTCGCTGTTTATCGGTCTATCTATCTACTGCCTATCTATCTATCTGTCGAACTGCCTCTTGTCTATCCACCCATCTATGTATCTAATCTGTCTATCTGCCTGTCTGTCTGCCTATCTATCTATCTATCTAGCACCCCTTATGAACGGAAATCTGACGTCCCCAGATCTTGGGGAAGGAAGTTCTCGGTGCTTTTGCAGGATGGGAGTTTGGTCTGATACTTATTAGTTGGACTAGCAGGTTTGGCAAAACAAGCATGGTTTGGTTTAGACTATGGGGGAGAGCCTAGGTATTCAGACGACCCCTGTGCCCGAAGCCACCGATCTCAAATCCCAAACTCCAAACCCGTCATATCCTTACTGGGGACCCCTACCCTATAATGGGATATATAATGAGTATATAATAGCTAGATTAAGGGTATATACCTAGGTGTTCTTATTAAAGGTCCCTCCTTTTACCCTTGGATCATACTAAACCCTGAACCCAAAGATTCTAACCCAGAGACTCCAATATCCCTTAATTAAGGAATGTACCTTAAACTATAGTAGGATCCCTAATATGATTTAAGGAATATTCTTTAATTAAGGGGTATTGGAGTCTCTGGGAACATCCCACGACTCACCCAGGCGGCGGCCTTGCCG